TTTGCCCCCTCTATGTCCCTTCACTCGTCCCGTCTCTTTCACCGCACCTCCTACCGAGGCAATCACAATTCATATTTAATGGCGAGTTCGATTCCTGCTGTCCTGCAGTGGCTTTGGCATTCAGGGCCTTGACTTGCCTGACTTGCAGCGAACTACTTGCATTTCAATTTATTCAACTCGTTGTCAAAGTGTGACCAGAGTCTAATGGTCATGAACAGAATAATCAAGAGATTAAATTGAAACCCACTAGTAAGTAATAGATTTGTAGTTAAACTTTTTAATGTTATTTAAAACAAACAGTGTGGCCAGTTTAAAGCGAACGGCACAATTTAGAAACCTATTTACCAAATAATAACTCGAAACGAAAAACCTTTTCCGCCTGCCAAACGGACTTAATGGAGGGCAAAACAACTTCCCCACAAATCGCCACCAAAACATAATCTTCTTATGCTCATTGCTCAGTATTACACAAAATACAGTCACACTAGAAATTGGAAAGAGACAACAACAACAAGAACAAACTCATCGAGGGTGAGGGCGAATAGAAATGGAAAACTTATAAAATATCTGCGAGGAATACAAATTCAATTCATGAATAAATTTCATGTATAGCCCTTGGCTGCTTTCTATTTTATGTATTTTATGGCATGTGCCTCCGTTTTATGTTGTTGAGGTTGCCGGGGATACCAAAGAGGATAACGCAGAAGCGGAGGCATCTGCATATCTATCTGGCCGACTTTGGCATTGCCACAAAATCAGCAGCTGAAACACGAGCAGTGGCAGCAGCAGCGGCAGCAGCAGTTGATGATTTACCAACGGGCGAACACATACTCCAGATAATTACGACGCGGTCTAGACTTTAAACCATGGGTTAGGTTTCCCTCCCTCTCCAAAAGTTGCCAACTGGCAACGGAAAATCGTTGGCTGGCAGTGACTGCCACTGCCAACATAATCACAAGTTAATCCTCCGTGTAACTTTACCACCAGCAACTGGGCATTTGGGCAGCAGAGTGGTTTTTCGGGGGGGCGGAGTCGAGCAGGTTGCGCAAGTGGAAACTGCGAGGAGGATGCCCTGCCCTGTTCGAATGTAGATAAGCGGCCCTAAGCCAAAGATACAACTTTCAGATACTTGCCAAACTGAAATGTTGCGATGGCTTCGCACTCCCTCAAAAACAGCAGCAGCAGCAGCAAAAGCAGCAGCTTAAAAATGTTTCATTTTTATCGCAGCGAGTCAGAAAACGAAAACGAAAACCAGAGAAAGATAGAGATGGAGAGAGGTGAAAATTCCTTAGCAGTAATGCCGAAAGGAAATCCTTCTGCTTGGGGATTCCCCATCCGACAGGCGAATATCTTCATCCAACTTTGATGTTTGCTTCAACTCACACAGACGTAAAGGTTTCCAAACAGAGAACTTAAAATATGGCAATGCTTGAAGGTGTGACAAGTGTACAATAACGTTAAATGGTGTGACCAACTTATGTAAAGGGGATCTTAAGGTTAAAGTGACCAGGATTTAAAATAAAGCGAAAGGGATTCAGCAAAGTCCAATATTTTTATAATTTTTTATCATTTATTGAAAGAACAATCCTCAGCAAAGGCATATCAAAGGCATATTCCAGCTGTTCAGCTCTGAGGACCACCTGCCTTGGTCAACAGTGGAACATTGTTTGCAGCTTTAACAACGTTATTTACAGCTCCGGATGGAGAACAAAAAAAAAAAAAAAATGTTGAATGCAAACGGTGAAGGGGAGGGAAAACAAGGAGAAAACAAAGAGCGGAAACCAATTCGACGAAAGGTGAAAGGTGTTCGTCTGTTGATTCGACCCTCCTCTTTTGACTCTTTCTTTTCCCGGAACCCCACCCACGAACTTTAACCGCAGAAATCAGCTGGGGGTCTTGGGCCATTTCCCCCCCTTTCCCCGTCGATTTCCCCGGCTTTCCCGTGTGCCCTCAGTTCCTTTTGAGCTCTTTTTGACTGTGGCAAGAGTTACGCAAATTGCTGAGCTGGCAAAGGCTGTAAAATTTTATTGAGCATACACACAGCCGACGAGCCGGGACAAATATGCGGTTCAAGGGACGGTGATTCTGTTCTGTTCTGTTCAGTAGGTTCTTCTTCTTCTTCTCGACTGGTGGCTCGCATTTACGGCCTTAATTTCGAAAAGAAGCTTTGATTTAAAGGGAGAACACGACCAAAGGGCGACGAATTTATTGCCGGGAGCATAAAACGCCGTGCCCGTGAAGTAAGAGTTGGACACAAAAATACAACAAAAAAAAAAAGAGTAAAAGAGAAGGAAGGAAAGGGCTTAAAGGGGCGTGTCACCTGTCGGCGGGACAAGGACTAAAACTGTTATTTGCACTTGGCTCAGTTACGTGCCGAATCAATTGAGCAACGGCTGATGGCGAAATTTCAGGGGTGTCGTTTTCGGGGGACACACGACTGGGCACCGTAGTTGGTCATAAATCATTTAAGTCGCCTCCTTTACATGCAAAATGTTTACCAGCACGACAGTTTCGAAACGAAAGCGAGGAGTAACAAAATCTAACGATGGCATTTCAAAATAACCTAGTTAAAAGAAAAAGTTGATATTGCAAATTTATTCATTTACATGTCAATGGTTTAATATTTCGCTAAACATAAATGGATTGCCAGGTTTAATAAGCGGTAAACCATGTATTTTTATGGACGTGAGTGTAATGTGAATAATACATGCAAATATACCCAAACATGTAGTCACAAAGTAAGGAATTTATATACTGTCCCAGATTCAAGTTATTCCCATCCTTGTAAACTTTAGGACTAGCGTGTAAATACCCTCTGAAAGGCCACATAAAAGCGGAGCGTAGGCAGCTGCCCTGAGTGCCCGTAAATTCAGCTGTAAATTCTGTGGGTGGTGATGGGTGGTGGCACATGGTGGTGTTATTGGTGGCTCACACCTGCCTCGCATGCCAAATGAAGTAAAAGATCTTGGCGCCCGAAAATCTAACAACGCTGCTGCCTGCCACACACCGGGTGATGCATATTTGATGCTTGTTTTACATATGCCAACAATCCAGGGACACATGCTAGCAGCCACCCAAACCACCCCAACCGAACCGCCCAACGTACTCATCCAACCCAACCACCCACGCACACTTTGCCAAAATTTGTCACTGACAATTTTCATTAATTTAAAAAGCCAAATAAATTGTGAGGCTTCAACCGCAACAAGAGCAAACATCTATGCCAGCAAAGCGGAAACAAGCAACTGACGCATATCATTAAAGAGTAGTTACTGTGGGTGGTGCGATGGGTGGTTTCGTGGGCGGCCCACTGGTGGGTTTTTCTCTGTGGCGTGAGGTGTGCATATGTAAGACGCTCCTAAATGGATCGCTTGTTTGTGACGCAGTCAACACATACGAACACATACAAACACACTCGCAGACTCGAAGGAAGGTAAATGTAAAGGATGGCAGTAAACCACTTGCCACCCATAAAAACACCCACAAAATCTACGCACACCTACGCAAAATCAGGGACAAAGAGTTGAAGCCACCAAGCGGCATAAAAGTGGTTTCAAAAATGGCAGGATGGCTTTTTGCCTAATTCTCAACAAAATAAGACATTTTAAAAACATTGAAAAGGGTTACTGTTGCAATAAACAAATAACTAACTAGATATTTAATATCCTACATCTTTTTTATAGATTTGACTGGGCTAAATGTTTATTTCTTTTCAGAATACTAGCTGAAAAAAGCTTGAATAATACCAGAGAAATCCATATGCTCCAAAGTTCAAGCCCGCATTATTGAACACAAACACACAATATTTTCCATGGATTAAAAAAGTGAGCAGTGTTATCCCCTTGTTAATAAGTGAAAAATTCTGAAAATGCAATTGGATATTCTAAAGCGCGCGTGAAAGCGCGAAATGAATTTCTTTATCCATGGAATTTTGTTGTTGTCTTTATTTTACACAGTGTGTAACTGTGTTTTTTCAATGGTTAAACGGCTGAATTTCAAGAGGGTCAACGAACCAATGCAATGGAAACTCATAAAGCGGCAACTTTGTTGCGATTTAACCGTGGGTGTTTGCCCATGCATATTTATATATATGCACACGTATATATTTATATGGATATATAGCTTCTGTGGCCCGACTTCCGATGTCTACGCCTTCGCACTTTGGATGACACCGGCAACAACCAGAAAACCGGCAGCAACCCACTCAGTCTGCCGGAGGAAAACACTTCCTGTCATCACACACACACAGACACACATGGGGGCAGAAACGAAAAAAAGAAGAGGAGGAAAGCAGGAGAAAATGAGGAAAACCACCCACACACTGGTGGTGCTCGTGAAAAGTTACTGGATCCTTTCGCCAGCAGTCATGCTAATAATTTGATGGCACAAGCGAGCGAGCAGCGACAACGTCAGGTGTAAAATATTGTTAAGCGCAAATACAGAAACCGACTGACTCACACACACACACATGCACACCCTTGCGGAAGCAGCCACGCCCACACACACACACGCAGATGCACAAGGAGAAAAAATAAAAGCTATTTGGGAAAGGTACAAGAAATTGTGTAATACAGTAGCTAATAATATAATATAAAGATCTTGTTAATTAAAACTTTGTCAACATTAATTACTTGGGTTTTAAATTCATATGAAAACCTTTTTCTGAGTGTACGGCATATTCATATGCAAATCGGGAAAAAGGAAAATCCAGTTGTTGCCGAGGAAAAGGGGGAAAGCAAGCTGAAAAGCATTTCGTGTTGATGTTGCGTTTTCATTACGCGCAATTTCGGCTGCCACGCCCCCTGCGTTTGTTAATTTTCTTTGATGCCGCAGCGAAAATTGAATTAAATTCTATTAAAAAGTCACCAACATACGGCAACCGGAATATCTAAGGGACGCGGGACTCGTATAACTCGTATATGTGTCGGAAAATCTGCGATTCGCCGGTTACTTTCGAATTTTGTGGGCGTTTTTCCGGAACGGAGGGGGACTCAACTCACCTGCAAATTGGGCGGACAATGATCCAGCAGCTCCAGCATATGTTTGATATTCTGCGCATCCTGTATCACAAAATTCAATTCCATATCGAATTCACCGCCGACCAGCTGCAAAAAATCAAAAGGCAATAGAGATATGAGTTAAATATATATAGTTTGGATATTGTATAAACAATGGCGGGAATTGTTGAAAAATGCTCACAATTAGTGAGAATCATTTTTCTCCCCCCCAAATTTTTCTTTTGCTTTTTGGATGGGTTTAATTTATTTGGTCGGTGGTCCTCTCTGCATGTGGATAATCTGGGGTAAAAATATGCGAAAAGTTGACGGCAGATTTGTAATTGGTAAAGTTTGAATTGGAAATAATGGATGTGTGTTTGGAGAGCGTGTATTCAAGTGGGCGATGGGCGGTGGGCGGATGAAGAGGAAACGGAAAATGGAAAATGGGAAATGACTGACAAAAGTTTTAAGGGAATTGAGAGCCATGGAATAAGAGAACACAGGCAAACGAAATAACTGTTGGCTTAAATCCGTTGATTGGCCAAAATCAATGTAGTTTCCATTTATCTAGACCACACAAAGTGCAAAGCTCCAGTTAACTTTACCGGCTTCCTTTAATTGAAACCAAATTCAATGTATTTCAGCTCGCTTGTATTTGTTTAAGCATAAAAGTTTTTATTTTCTGAAAATCGAACGCAGCGTGTCGAGGTCAGAATGTTTTTATTTGAGTGCTTCAATAGATTTTTATGAAAATTGTATACCCCTTTAAAGCATTTGAACTCTCTGAATTTATAAATCAAATTTTTTTTAAGTGGATATGCAGTTTCTTTCGAATGAAAAGACCTTTCCCGTCAAAATTAACCCTTTCATGCCCAAATTAATCTGGGGACACATAGAAAATATTTAACGCCATAAATGATTAATAGGAACCCCAAGTAACTTTCATATCGATTTTCGATACTCTAAGTCCTTTGGTATGTCCTTACTGCAATGTTGCCTTTAGGCCTTTGAAAAAATCCTCACTCTTTATAAAACAATTTACAAGCCCAACTTTATACTTTTATCATAGTCTTACCTGTTTTAAAGATATGTACGTACTTATTTTATTAGTATTTGTCACTAATTTTAGTTAATCGCACTATTTGCACGGACACTTTTTGGTAAAATTTTTCGGCAGCTGTGGTCGCTTCGAATCATAAGTGATAACTCAGCACACGCTGCAGCTGCATTCGCCAAAATTACCAAAAATTAAACAACATTAATATGGGGAATCGCCTATAAAAAAAATCCACAAAAATTTTGAATCGTAACCGATTTAAACTTCAAAAAGTCAATGTTGCCTGTAGGCAACAGTGGGCATGAAAGGGTTAAACAATTTTTTTTTTCAAAAAGGCAATAAATCAAAGTCTTAGGCTATTTAAATCTAGAACTATCAATTGCCGAACATTAAAAGCTGATTAAATTTTCCGTGAACCTAATTCTCTTTGATGGATGGTGATCTATCTTAAAAAAACCAAATCTGTGCCTCATTTTCTTATCTCAAAGAGAGTTTTCCAAGGGAATGGGAAGGGATTATCATTTAGCAAACCATTTGCTCGCTGTTCTTGCTCACATTTTGCCCCCACACTCTGATTTCACCCCCATTATTGTTTTCCGCCCCCCTCGATTTTAGTTTCCGTTGGCTTGGGCCAAGTACAGTCGAGTGTGTTAACTGCTGGGAAGCGTGTCCCATACACATCCTTTTGCCATCGAGGAGCAATCAGGGCGTCCTTTCAACAGCAACAACCATAACAATCAAAAATGGGCAAAGGAAATTCCCGCAGTCACGTCACAAAAACGGCGGCGGCAAAAAGGTTCTAACTTAATTATGCCAGGCGCCAAGAAAATCCACTTCCATTGAAATCTTTGGGCCCCCGACTTTAACACCCCCAAAATCAGGGCCACGCCTCTTTCGCCCTCCGTCCCCTAAACCAAAGTCAATATATATATATTTCTGGGCAAAAATTGTTTTTCTAGCTTTTTGCGCGCTTTAATAAAATCAGCAAAAATAAATTCAATAAATTGATTAGAGCGAAGGGAGAGGGTTTTCTCTGTTTAGCTCACAAGTGGTTACAAGTGTCCTTACACAAACGCAGACACACACACACCGACACACACATAAGCACACATAGGGCGTTATAAATCCCCACTGTATTTATGTCTGTTTTTGTTTGTTTTTCTCGCATTTTTTCTGGGCGAAAAACTAAGTGGGGAGCGAGAAAAGGGGGCTCTTTGGCGGCCGACAGTTTGGCGCCTGGCCATCAATGGACCACACCCACCATCCACCATCCACCATCCAGCATTTAGCATCCATCCAGTGTCCTTTGGCCAGGCACCACCATCCAGATCCAGTACTTTTGTGCGAGTGCACTCGAGAGCTGCTTTATAATTATGCGAAAACGATTTCGCCGGCTTTCCACTTTCACTCCGCACTTCTCGAAAAACCCACCTCACACTTTTTGATCCTTTTCTGCGGTTTATGGCCATGGCCACGCCCACGATTTGCCTTATCACCTGGCAACCAAGAAGAAACAAAACAGCAAAACAAAAAAAAAAGCAAAACTGAAGGTAACAATATGGCCAGCAAATCTGTTTTGATGCGAACATAAAGCGAAATCAAAGCCAGCGACTTCTCACCCCCGGATTTGTTGGCACCCCCTTCCTTTTTTCGTGGCAATGAAAACAAACAGCGGAGGAGGGCTCTAAGTCCCGCGGATTAGGGAGCAATTTATAATGCCCCTTTAAGTCGGACGCCCCAGAACCACCGCCAATATCGTGGGCTGAATTTCCATTTGCTCCATTTGAGAAAATAGACACAAAAGCAGTTGAGTCCTTTGATGAATTAAATGAACTCTATTTAACGTACTTAAAATTCTACAAATTTCAAGTGCTAACTTCTTTAAAATTATACATGTTGTTTAGATTATATTATATAGACTCACAATAAGTTCCATTAAGCGCAAGCCACAGAGCAACTCATCTACTTAAAGCCAAATAAAAGAGGCAAAAAAGAAAAAGAGACAGCGAGGGACATCGGAAAAACGCTCATTCATATTTAAATTAAACTTTGCGAAAAGTTTTTCGACTACCCATCAAGCCAGCCCCATAGCCCCATAGCCCCATTTGCCACCCCCCAATTAACGCGGCCACCCACATTTTCGCCATTTTCCGCAGCGCGTCTTAGTACAAGCATTTTAAACGCCGCTTAATTATATTCGTCTGCCAGCCTCCCCTGGAGTTTTCCCCAGCATTTGCCAGCATTTTCCCAAGTGCCAGGAGCATCGCACCTTTTTCTAGCACATTTAGTCAATTTTAAGTTCATTTAAAAACAGAAAAAAGAAAGCGAAAGAAAAGTTTTTCTTTCTTTCGCTTTTCTTTTGCTTGTAGATTTTCCACATTTCATTTGTACAACGGAAAAGCTGTGGAAACTCTCTGGCATTGACGTGTCGCCTGTTTTCCCGTTTGCCTGTCACCTTGTTATCCCCACCCAACGGGTCGCCTATTTCAAGTAAATTGAATTTCTATTTTATTTAAAATGCGCATTGAAACGCACTAAAAGTTCTCCAAGTGGCAGCATTTTCCAGGTGGGGGGAAAAGTGGGTGCTTTTCCGCGGTGCGAAGGTGTAAAAATTACAATTTTAAACTGGCAATGAGACCGAAATTTCTTTCTTTGTTTTTCCTCCTTTTTTTTGGTGGACGGGGGTTGGCTTTCCCTTTGAAAAGCCAGCGCGAGTTTTCCTTATCTCTTTTGTAATTCAATTTGATTTCAACAAGGAGGTGGCAAGGCAAAAAAAAAAAGGAAAAGATGAAAATATAAAGGGGCGTTAACTGCATTGAAACTGTAATTGAGGCGAAGTTAACTTTCTGAATAAATAAAAAGCCAGTTATGGCAGGGAACTTTTAAAAGTGTTGTTATTCAGTGATAAGTACGGATTGAATTCAGTTTAAAAACGAACAGCTCAATTATGATAAACTTAAAATGAAAAACAAGGAAGGAAGCTAGCATCGGCGAGATGAAAGAATTAGTGAACAATTTTGGTAAAAACACTATATTATATTATATTGGTAAACACTATACTATACAACGGTCTAATATCTTAAAAAACGGGTTTTGGATTGTTAGGCTGTTCCACCTCCATACTAATTCTTTGGCAACACTTTCTGAGCTTTTGGCAATTCCCCAAAAACCTTGATTACGCCTATGCAGATATTCACAGCAATTGAATCGCTGGTCTCGGGAAAAACTGCCTGTTTTCCTTTCTCTTCCTCAATCCTCGTTGTTTGGGGAAATGCGTTCTGTGCTGGCTTTTCCGCCTATTCTCGCCAGACTTTCCCACACTCCATCTACGCTATTGTGGAAAAAGGCCCTCATCACCATGCCATACCACCTTGGCCCCCCTTTCTTCCCCTCGGCTTTGAGCCGAATTTTCCGACTTTCCACACTCATCCCACCCGGAGCAACCCGGAGCAACCCCCTTTCTTGTGTCATTAGGGAATATTCACAGTTTTCTCGTGGTTAAGCTTTTAAAACAGTTTTGAAAAGTACACAGGCTCTGGGGTTCGGTTCTTTTCCCCAACTCCATCTCCATTTTCATCCACGCTTATCATACGTAAAAATTGTTGCCACAGCTTCGTTTCCTCCTCTTTTTAGCGCTACTTTTAAGTTTCGGTTTTGGTTTTGGGTTTTCTTCGTTTTCTCCTTTCTTTTTTTATTTTTTTGTTTTTGGAGGGGCTTCACTTCTTTTGTGTGCCTTACTCAATTTCTGTTTTACTTTTGCTCGGAAGCTAAGGAACCAGAAAAAAAGAATTGCTCGTTGGGGAAATTTTCCTGCTCAAGTTTTTATTGTTTTTTTCTTCGTTTTTTATTTTAGTATTTTTTTTGTATTTCCTTTGGCTTTCTTGGCACCTCCTCGAGGGCTTCCCATAAGCAACTTGGTAGATTACTTTTGATTGTTCTATTTTAATATTTTACAGCTGGCATTGCGGCAACTCTCTGGCTGATGGCCTCATTAGTTGTGACTCCATTGGGTTCTGGGATATATCTTCCTGTCGCTTCTCTTTTTTTGTTT